CTTTACTCCCTCCACTCACCAAGAGAGCAATATATTTTGTTATTTCAGAAACCTCAAACTCACTGCCATGAGTCAGATCTGACTCATAACTGACCATATAAATTGCATGAGAAGAGATTGCCCTCTTTTCTGCCTTGAAGTGGATTTGAACTTCCACAGAAGCACCACCTTGGATTTCGCTGCAGACCTCTATGAACTTCACCATCAGAGTTCACGAGTTTTGACAAATAGGTACTGATAGGAAATTTGTAGTTCCTTTAAGAGGCCAATAGAAATTTTGAGTAAACTAGTTTAGTTTTCCTAAGAATAAGAAGTCTTTTACTAGCTTTCTCTATTTAGATTGGTAGTTTATAATTATATAAAATATATTGGTGGAAAATGGATTTCTAATTTTATCTCTTGGATGAAAGAAATTTGTGCCAGGAAATTGAGCTTCTTCAAAATTATAAATGACCTTTTCTTCTTTACCCATCAGAATTGTTATTTGTTGAAAATCTCTTATTTATGCGTAACATTTCTTTGAAGTATTTCAGAAACCAAAAATTACCCATTTTTAATAAGACTAGAAAGATTATTTTTAGAAACTATTTTTAGGCTAAATATTTGAGATTATTTAAAATCTTAAATAATACAGTTTGTTTAACTGAATTCTAGGGTGCTTTTTCCCCCCTCCTCAGTTTATATGTATATAGAAAATGTGTTCATTTACTGCCAGCGTTTACCAGCCTAAGTATTTTTCTGATTATGTTTTTAAAACTCTAGGTTCCTGTATAGGAAAACTCAGTGTTTTTTGGGTTTTTTTTTTAATGCTCCCAATTTGCTATTCCTTATAGATTTTTCTTACCCCATCCCACACCCAAACTTGTTAGGACTTATAATAAATTTTTACTAGTAGGTTTTACACTGCAAAAATGCTGAAATTTCATAGCTTAAGTCATGTAATGTCATCTTTTTAAGGTGGGGTTCCCCCCCCCTCTATTTTTCATTTTTATTCTTTTTTATGTGTGTACCGTCAAATTGGATCTGACTGGTAGTGCAGGAGGAGATTGTCACTCCTTCTTCAGCTGAGCATCTGGTGGATTTGAACCGCACACTTCTGGGATTGCAGTGCAGTTTCTTGCAACTAGGCCACCAGAGCTCGCCTTGTAATGTCATTTAAGACCAATTTATTTGAAATATGAATTTGATTCAGAGTAAATGACATGGCTTGATTCGGTTTAGTTTTTCTAAGTCTGAGAATTTAAAGTCCTTTTAAAGTATGTCATTCTTATCCATAAGTTGTTGATAATCCTAATTTAATGTAATTCTTTAATTCTAAACTTGAAAAATAACTTCCATGTTTAATCTTTGTTAATCTTTTGTTATTACCTTTCTCTCTGAGTCATTCAAGTTTATGTTAAACCAGAAGTCTCCAAATAGACCTCTCGCGTCTATTTGGTTCCCATATGATCATTTGTTTTTGTTTTTTTAAACCTGCAAAATGTTCAGTTGGTTTTCATTTTATTTGGCTTATGGTTTTCTATATAAAGTGGAAAAGTACGTCTAACCTATAACTTGAAAGGATGCTAGCTGTTAAATCATCTATAGTTGGCAGCCCTCTAAGTCTTTCCAGATATTTGCAGGTAAAATCATTGTCTTTTATTGCCTTAATTTGGGGTGAGGGGGAGTAAGACAGTCCTTAAAGACTCTGAATTGTTCAACCAGTTGCTTCAGATCTAATGCCTATCTCAGCCTTAACCAGTTTTGGATCATCCCAAGAGGTACATTGTTAGGTGCCATCAAGTCACGTATGACTGATAGCAACCCTATGAACAGTGGATCTGAATCCCACCCTATCCTCTGCTATCTTCGCACTGTCAGACACACTAGAGCCCATTGCAGCAGTCACTGTGTCATTCCACCTGGTTGAAGATCTTCCTCTCCTTTCCCATCCCTCCATCCTTCTGAGCATCATGTCCCTCTCCAAAGAATAGCCCCTTGTAGCAACATGCCCAAAGTAGGTGAGGTGAATCCTCATCATCCTTGCCTCCAAAAAGTGATCTGGCTGCACCCTATCCAAGATGTTATTTGTTCTTTTGGCAGTTCATAAGCTGCTCTTCTCAAACACCACAGCTCAAAAGCATCAGTTCTTCTGGATTTGCAGCTCTTAGATGCAAACAAGTGATCAGAAAGACTAGGGCCTGAATCAGGTGCACATTAGTCCTCAAATTGACAGCATTACTCCTTAGTAATTTGGAGAGATCCCTAACTGTATATTTTTCCCAAAGCAATATGTCTCCTGATTTTCTGACTGCTGATACCAAGGGTGTTAATTGAAGATCCAAGTAAGATGAAGTCTACTTAGAGGTATATTACTGATTAAAATTAAAAAGGAGCCCTAAAAAAATTTTAAAACCAAGTAGATAACAATTTAATGACTCTTATTCTGAGTTTTCAAGTCCATGGATTGAGTGAAGATTTATTTTACTTAATGATTGCTTACTTGATTGCTTTCCCAGAAGGCCTTGGAAATTGTGTATTATGCTAATAATGGTACAGAGATTGTCTTAAGACATTTAATAAACCAAACTGTAAAATCCATCCTGGCCTGTCACTTCCAACTCCTGGCAACCCTCCACTGGTTTGTGAGGCTGTAAATATTTCATGGAGTGCACTGCCTCATTAGATACAATGATTCTGAACATCACTGAATCCCCTAACATTTACTGAACATTGAATATATGCCAGAACTTTGCATGCAGCACAGTAGATGGTGACATCACTATTTCACAGATAAAAACATTCCCAAAAGAAGTCATCCTGTAGAGTGTGGGGAAATTACCAAACAGTATCATTACTATAACCTACAAGTAAAATCTTTTACAAATTATTTTTTAAATGGTTGGAGCAGAGAATTGCCAGAAATCAAATTGTATTCAGAAGAGACAGGGATATCATGTATGTTTATTTATATTTTATTGACTGTAAAAGAGTTTGACTATATGGATCATAATAAATTATAGATATCCTTGGAAAAGTGAGAATCCCAGAACACTTAATTGTATTCTTGTAAAACCTGTAAATAGACCAGTACGCTGTTGTCCTACAGAACAAGGAAATACTGCATGACTTAAAATCAGGAAAGGTGTGCATCATCAGGTTATATTCTTTGTAACTAACTATTCAGTCTGCATCCTGAACAAATCATTTGAGAAGCAGGACTATATGAAGAACATGGCATAAAGCTTGGAGGAAGATTCATCAACAAAGTGTATTATGTAAATGTTGCTGTCTTGATTGCAGAAGTGAAAAAGACTTAACACTTGGTGCTACAACCTTCAATATGGATTATGTACATCAACATCAAGAAAACAAAAATTTTCACCACTGGTTGAATAGAAGACACCATGTTAGAGAAAAGAATAAAGTTGTTAGTGATGTCATATTACTTGGCTTCACAACCAACACCAGTGGTAACAGCAGTCCAGAAATCAGAAGACATGTTACATTGAGGACCTCTCTAAAATGCTAACGACAAAAAAACAGTGTTTGAAAACTGAGGTGTACTTGATCCAAGCCATGTTGTTGTTGCTGTTGTGTTCCATCAAGTTGGAACTGCCCTATAGCAGACCCTCCAGCAGGTTTTCAGAACACTGGGGGAAATTTCCAGTCCTTCTCCCATGGAGCTACTTGTCGTCTGTCTTCTGGATTGCAGTGCAGCTTCTTGCCACTTAGGTTATGAGAGCTTCCTGATCCAAGCCATATTGCATCTGAAAGTTGGACAGTAAGTAAAGATGACAGAAAAAAAATATCTTTGAATTGTCGTATTGGAGAAGAATACTAAATATCCCACAGAAAACAAGTCTTGGAGGAAACGTAAACAGGATACTCCTTAAAGGTAAGGATGGTGAAACCTGATCTCACATACTTTGTGCATGTTATCAGGAAGGCCGTCTTTGGAAAAAGCCATCCTGCTAGGAAAGCTGGAAGGTCAGAGATCAAGAATTGACACAGTGACTGTTACAGTCAGCTTGAGCGTGGTGGAGATGATGAACACAACGGCTGCCCTCTACTTGTTTGAATCCCAGGAAGAAAAATGAGTGTTGACAGCCTTGATCATCCAGTGGAGGATCAGTGATGAGTCTCTTTGGACTCAGCTAGTTTTGGACTAGGGACAACATGGAAGTTGAGAGGGTGCTGTGGAAATTAGCTGAAGGGAGGGGGACAATTGACTGTTTTGTCAAGTTTAGTTCCACTTTAGAAATGTGACGTGAATCCTACTCCTTGGAGCTTACCCAGGTGAGTGCATAAGTTCATCATGAATCTTCCTAGGCAGTGTTGGTGGCCCTGTGGAATGTATCCCCAAGCATGCCATGGTAGAAATGGATGCTAGAAATAGTTAGAAAGCTGCCGTAACAATTGCATTGCCTTTCTCTTTTTGTCCTAATCCAGACAAACCCCGCTTTTTGTAACAGGTCTAAATTGTACATTGCGAAGTTAATTAAGACTGTTGTGCCAATTTGGTAACATTGCTAAACATTCAGGGATTTTAAAAGGCATCTGTTAAGTAATGTAAATTAGGACCCGAACTGGACGTACTCCTATGTATTACTTACTTACTTATACACATGCACATGTAATTAGATGCTAGTTTTGTGTTTTGTTTTTAACCTGTATTATCCCTCAGTGACTGGAGTAATTGGGATGGGTGTGTCAGGCAGTGGAATTGGCACAGGATAGAGCAGGATTTAGGGCTGTTGTACATAGGGTTGCTATGAGTCGCAAACTACTCAGAGGCACATAACAGCATCCCTTCCTTTTAGAATTGTGACCTGAATTCATTGTCTTCTGGATTTTGCCCACCTTTTAATTGCTTGCAGAGTGCTTAAACAAGCGTAAGCATTTCTCTAATAGTTATGCTGTGTTAGAAACCTAAATTTCTTCCATCTTGTTGTCTTTTAAGTTGTGATTTTTATTATACATTCTCAACCTCATTTCCATTTGATTCTTGGATCTCACAGGAATCCTTCAACTGCTTTCTATCAAGCTTTCCATTTGAACACCTTTCAGGAATCAAAGAAGCTCTGGGATAGGTATGATACTTATATATGGAATGCATACATAACAAAAGTGTATGCATGAATTGCTTTGCACTGTGCTGGCTTCTCATTAAAATGAGCTTTGTTCTTTCAGGGGAGAATAATCATATAGTATCTAGCACTGTGACAGAGCAGTAAAATAAACCAAAAATAGACTTTGTTTTATAGCATATATATGTACTTTTCTACTTCATTTTATGTGCTTTAAATATAGTTCTTAGAGATTTATATATCCCATTGAATTTTATTACCTGAGATAGCCACTTAACCATGTTTCTTTTAATGTAGAAATTTGTTCTGTTAAGTAAATGAGTTCTTTTTAATTTGTGTACTATTTTATAGGATTCCGCTATAAAAACCTTAATGACTCAGAGTAAAATATTAAAATTTCAATTAAGAAATTGGAGCCAGAACCAAGGCTAAAGTATTAAAGGAATTATTTTTAAATTCTTGGCAAAAAAAAATCCCAAACCAACCAATCCTTCAGGTTTACATACTAGAGGTATACCTTTCTGGTTTTTAAATAACTAAAATAGTTGGCTTTCTCACAGACCTGTTTTTGTTTTTAACTTTTTAGAATCCATTATAGTCTTAAAAGTTTATTATGGCTTGAGATACTTTGGTTTATCTTTCTGCTAGACATACATTTTAAGTAGTATATGTTCTATTCCTGCCTTCCTTTTATTCCCCTCACCCCCGAGTATTAGCACTCCATCATTCTGTCTTTAATTACCAGAAGTTGATAGCAAAGTCTTTTTAAAATTTATACACAGCATTGTTAGATTCTTTGACTCTCTTCCTGGTAACACATTTGTGTGCCCTGGCATTATTTAGAATAGTGTTCATGGACTCATAATCTCTTTCAATTAGAGAAGAGTCTTTCTAAATGCATGTATGTGTTATATTAAGACATCTAGAGTGTCTAGAAATAACATTCTTGGGCTTGATTTGCTTGCGTGTCACTTCTAACAAAGTATCTTTGATAATGTGTTCCTTAACAAAAATATTTAAAATTTAAAATAGTTGTAGAACAGGAAGTGTTAAAGCTTGTTTGTGAAGTAAAAATGTAAATACCATTTTTATGCGAATAACGTGCATTACATGATTTTTCAGGAGACAAAGGTGGGTTTATTAGCTGATAATATGTTGTTGAACTGTTCATTTTTTTTCACTGCAAACAACATATTTCTAGGTGTTAAACGTTCAAAGTTAAAAGTAACTTTGCCATATTGATCTTCAATAAATTTTTTTAAAAAATACTGTCAACTAAGTCTTTTTGAGAAATTTTTTAATGCTTTATATTTATCTACTGTTTTCAACTTATATAACAAATTTATTTAGCAATATTGAAAAATACCATATTTTAGCTTTTTATTTATGAAATCTTATGAATTGTTCCCAGTATAAGCAGCAACCTTTTTAAACCTAGTGCCAACTAGGTTTTAACAACTGCTGTAAGACCCTGGATTTGTCTTAATCAGAAGACTGAAATATCTCGCCATTCCTTCCCAGCCCTCCCCACCCCCATTATTTTCCTTTAGCAGAGTATTTTCATCAACTAGTAAGTTTCCAATTGTTCTCACATTGATTTATTTTGTTGCCTTGCTTTTCTCCTTGTTTAAATGAAAATAAGCAAATTGAGGGTGGTTGTGTTTTGTTGGGTTTTACTGTCCCAAAGTTAAAGCTACTTTGAACCCTTCCTTTGCTTTTTCCTGTAGGTTCTATCAATGCTTTCCATATTCCTATTTGTTATCTGTTGAAACCTTAAAGGATGTTAGATATCAAGAACTCAAAACAATGCAGCCTTTTCTTGGGAAGCCCCCAGTGGTTTTCTTGTAGATTGCTTATTAAAAAGGAACACTCTCACTTCCATAGTTAACTCTAGGTTATTTAAACTATGAAGAAGTCAATTTTTAGCCATTTTCTATAGGCATTTTAGAGCTGTGACTTTAGATTGACATACCTCCTTAAAGGCTGGCTTTGCAAATTAAACTGTTGGCATTGCTTTCTCAAACACGAAGATTGGTTTAGAAATCTATCCTGAGGATTCTGGGGGATAGGCTCTCATTTGGGAGTCTTTATCTCAAAAACTCAGGGTTTAAAGTGTACAGTTTTACACCAAGGACTCTGGTGGTATAGCTTAGGAGTTGTACTGCTAAGCAGGAGGCTTCCAGCAAATCCAATCATCTCACACATAATTGTGAATGAAATAAAAAACAACCAAACAGTGCACACCCAAACCTTCAACCAGAGTAAGAGAACTCACCTTCCAGAATCCAACCACCTCACACATGAGCCTCCAAACTGAAGACTTAAGTCAGGCCCCACATAACTTTTTAAGTACAAAGGCCTGCCCACCAGGTCCTAATTGACTAACCCAGAAGCTTCTGGCCCACAGCTCACACTGTTAGCTAAATCCACCAAATCCAGTCAGCTAACACACACTAATGAAGGGAGGCTCATGTGTTTGGCTCTATTTTTGGTTGAGGCTTGGGTGTGGACTGTTTGGTGCTGTGTCAAATGTCCTAATAGTTGGACAGTGTTTAGTGGGCTTCCAGATTAAGACAGGTTGGAAGCAAGAGTGGCATCCACTTCCTAAACAACATGCCTCTGGAGACTGTAAACTTAGAGAAATGACTATTGTTAAAAAACAGGGTTCAGATCTTCGGTTCATAGGGTCCCTATGATTTGTGCTCCACTCAGTGGCCCTTAACAAAAACATAGTTGGTTAATTTTTTTTTTACTGTGATTATTCTATGTCTAGTTTTTAAAGTATTGCATTTTTTAAAGTTTTATTATTTTAGTAACCTCACATATTTTTATGTTCAAAAACACTTCCAGTATTTGTTGTCAATGTTACCTGTATTTGGTTTCAAGCTAGAGTAAATGTATGCATCCTATAGCATACACTTCATGGGTATTAATGAGAAAATTTCAGTTTATTATTGATACTAACACTACTTGTTAGCTCAGAGGACAAAGTTGAGGTTTTAGAATATTGTTGATTTTACTTTTTTGTTACATAATTTGTATATGACCTTTTCCCCCCATTACTATGTTTGAGTGTCATGGTTTTATGTAGTTGTACATTTGAACTACATAATTTTAAAAATTCACTATAGTGAGTTACTTGTTGAATATTGTTAAATGTTCCTTTAAAAATTATATTTTAAGAAATCTGAAGGTATGAACCCAAACAATTTTATAACCATCTCAAGTATATTTTATAATTTGCTCCTAGACTCTATATAAAGGAGCCCTGGGGACACACTGGTTAAGTGTTCAGCTGTTAACTGAAGGTTAGCAATTCAAACCCACTCAGCAGAAAAGACTTGGTGATCTGTCACTTAATGATGACAGCCTAGGACTCTGGGGCAGTTTTAATATGTATTGTGGGGTCGTTCTAGAAAAATTATGTTATTGACACACAACAGTGTAGTTACAGAATGATTATCTGATTAGTTTTTACCTATTTGAGTTGGAAGGTAATATAAAAAAACTGAATAAAAATTTTATTTTTTTAACTTTGCTATTTTTCTTTTCAAATCATTTGAGATACAAAACTGCAAAAATAATAGTAAATATTTCTGTATACACTTCACATAGTTTCCCTCAATAGTATCTTGCATAAATATAACTATTAGTAAATCAACATCAGGAAAACAGATTCTCACCATTGGTTCAGTTGGCAGCATCATGATAGATGGAGAGGAGATTGAGGTTGTTAATAGTTACAGCTTGCTTGGCTCCACAGTCAGCACTCTTGCCACCAGCAGTCAAGAAATCAAAAGACGAATTGCAGTGGGAAAATCTGTGGTCACAGACATCTCCAGAGTGATGGAGAAGCAGTGATGTCAGTCTAGAGCCTAAATGCTCCTGATCCAGGCCATGGTCTTAGCAACTATTTGCTATGCATTAGAGAGCTGGACAGTGACTTAAGAATGACAGAAGAATTGATGCCTTTGAGTTGTAGTGCTGGGTGAGCACCATGGATCACCAAGAGAACAAATAGGTCAGTCTTGGAGGAGGTAGAACCATGTTTCTCCTTGGAGGCTAGGATTTTGAAGCTCCATCTAACATACTTTGGCCACATGCCCAGGAAGGACCAGTTCTTGGAAAAGGACATTATGCTTGGAAGGGTGGAGGGACAGCATAAAAGAGGAAGAGCTGAATTGACACAGTAAGTGGAGCCATGGGGGTAGATGAGGCTGGCTCAGGACAGAGCAGGCTTCAGAGCTGTTGTACATAGGGTTGCTATGAGTTGCCTGTAACTGGACAATACAAAACAACTGAAACTGTGTTTGCTCTGGGGAAGTTTGCAGCCAGGCCTGAGATGAGTGGATTTCCCTGTAGCTGATCTGCACCTAAGTACTTTGTGTTGAAAATGAAGGCTGTGTACTGGCTAACCTTGCAGGAATCAGGAGCCATTACCCCATAGCAAGTCCTGGCTCCATGTGAAGCTAGGTGGCAGGTCATTGTGGGTATACACGAGGTACCAAATGGACTGTCTTGTTAGAGTGAGGGGAATGCAGAACCCCTCTGTTCTATAGCTCTCATACCTGCCTCATAGCTTCTTTGTTGGTGGTACATTGTCTTATTTCTTCCTATTTGTTGATGTTATTAGGTGCCATTAAGTTGACTACAATGCATAGTAATCCTGTGAATAATTGATTTACATTTCCCCCACCCCCCCATCCTCACAGTCTACACCTTGTTCAGTGCCATTGTTGCCATGACCAGGTTAATTCATTGTGTTGAGATGGGAGGCTTACTCCTTCTCTTAGGTATTTCATTTCCTCTAGAGACTAGATGGTTTTTGTTAGCTTTGTTTTCTAAATTTTTGGAATCGTTGGTTTAAGATAATGATCTTGATTTTTTTTTTTTGTTTTGTTACATTTACCTTTAAGCACTCCTTTTGCTCAATGATTTTGGTATATTTTCATTCTTTTTTGTTTCTAGGAATTTTTAAATTTTCTTTTTTTTTAATTTTTTTT